AGTCCCGATCAAGTTCATAAGTCTGATATTAGCCCATATGTCCAATACTAGTCAATAAATTCCTCTTCAGACTTATGAAACACATGTAATGACTCCAGATGCAGGAAGATCACCTGCCAGTGGTGGAAAATCTTGTGGATCCAGTGGCATTGTAAGCATCTCAGCACTAGCAGAGGTCTCCAAGTGGTTCCTTCAGCTCTGAGGCTCTGACTGCCACCAGCCTGTCTCCATGTGGCTTGTCAGCAAGCTTGTTTCTCAGGGAGTGACCAGAGAGAGAGTGTCTCCCACCTCCAGGGAGGAATACAGGTGTTCCCAGAATCCTCAGGAGAAGGCTATGCCCACACAGAGGCCTCACTGGCTATCATCTGATTGACAGGAAAGACTCCACCCCTTCCCTCTTAATCCTCAAATTGACAAATAATCATATAACTACCACAGTCCCTACGACATCTGAAACCTGGATATGTGTAATACTCCATGATAACAGGTCGTTATGGCTTCTCCATTATAATGTCTTTATACAGTTTCAACACTAAAATAATGACAGTGGGGGAATAAAAGCTGGAGCAAAATTTATAAAGTATGCTAGAGTTGTACACCAAAAGTCTTATGCAACTCATCATATATTGGCATTTATTTAAACACAATATCAAAAGACAGGAAACACATCAAAGCTCTTTTTGCACAAATAGCTTCCATTATGATGGCAAAATTGTCAAGTCGACCTACATAGTTACTAAGAGGGTTGTTTAATTATAGTACACCCATCTGATGGAAATTTTGGCAGACAATGCAATATTTAGATATAATGCCAGTTTTATATGACTTATATTGAATATAAAATACCCACAAAATTATACATGAACTAGGGCAGCTCATAAATAAAATTGCACATAAATAGAAGCAAATAAACAAAACTGCTACCAAAATACCAATGAAGGGGATTATGATTGTACAATTTTTACCCCTTTTGTGTTCAAATATTTTTCAAAAAGTAAAAACCATTATTGGGACTTAATGCAAATATCATATAATTCCATAGTTCAATCACATCAAGCAGTACTGTACAATTGCTACCACAATTAGTTTCAAAACATTCTTTTCCTTCTTGAACTCCTTGACATCAGCTCCCTTTTACCCCCCACCCCTTCCCCACTGTACCTCATAGAAAACGTTATTCTACTTGCTATCCTTATAGTTTCACCCATCCTGGGTTTCCTATACTGAAAAACAGAAAAACAGTTAACGAAAATTCAAGAGGGTGACACCTAATGACTGAACACATCTGAGATAAACCCCAATATCAATGATCAAAAAATACAGAGCATGGTGAAAACCAGATCCGGCCCAACATGCATCAGAGGGGGATCAACTGACAAGCCTTTAACCATTCAAGTCGGGGTTATCAATTTGATCCCCTATAGTCATCTCTGCAAAGCACTCTATGTAATACACTCCTCCCATCCCTCTTTTATGATAGAGGAAATCACCAGAGGCCTATGTAGATCCATCAAATGTAGCTTGGCTCCCACAGTCAACCAGAGCCGTCTGCAAAACAGAGTCTTATGATTTAGTCTCGGATACTATTCCCTCCTTCAACTTCAGATGATATGATTTACAGTCTTTTGGTCACTGATGTTGTTGTGCCTCTTCGAGTTGACATCTCACTTAGATGCTGCTTGTTTGGAGACAAGCCTATAAGACCCCAGACCTTATTTTATCTGATAGCCAGGCACCACCTAATTTCTTCACAGCACTTTTTATAGTGCCCGTATCTTCTGTGTTCCCTGTCGGAGGGTGAGTATTGAGCAGGGCCATGATACGAGAACTATTCTTAATTTGGTGATCAGACTAAGTGTGAGCCCAAATCCCATACCTGCATCTGCTTTTCTTTTTCTTTTTAATCTGCCGTAGGCTACCTTTAAAAACCTCCTTGTTAATTTATGGTAGAGAGTCTTATTGATCATGCCTTTGGGGCATAATGATCTCCCGTTAATATTGTCTTTGATTAGCCCCTGGTGCTAATTTTTGGGCCATTATAGGCTAACTCCATATAGCAGTGCCTGAATTATTCACATGTACAGAATCAAATATTTTATGCTTTGTAAAGTCTATGACGAGCTATTATAAAATTTCAAAATAAAACTTAAAAGGAACATTTAAACAGATGTTGAGGTTGTTTTAGTTACAAGTGAAAGTACTCAAGGTGTAACCCAGGATCTTGAAATGGCTTAGCTGATCAATGTTTTCTG